TTTTTTTTTTTTGAGGGGAAGGAGAGGAGTCCTTTGTTACAGGAAAGGAAACCTTTCAAGCAATGATTTTTTTCTCCTCAAAGGAGAAAAGAAATTTCATCCATTTATATCCAGAATTTTCATCCATTTATTTATTAACAGAATACATTAACTATTAGTGAAAATATTTTTATGCTACTTCTTAAGTATTAAGTCATTATGTAAATGTAGAATTTGTAAATTGATGAAAAGAACTTTCCAGAAACGCTATGAATAACCTTGCTACAAACACTTCAACTCCCTACAGCTCACAAGCATTGCATCTCCAGAAAGGTTGCACCTGGTTAATGGTTAGTATACATTTTGGATGGAATATTTAATGTCAAGTAGGGGCAGGCAGGGGGAAAACCAACCATCCAAACCTTCAACCAAAATAAAAAGCCCTAAATATTTATTTATCTGGTAATAAAAAGGTTATTAAGAACGAGGGGAAGTCTACTTACCAGTGTGCTGCAAAAGGACGACAAAGGTCTACGTGGAAGTTTTTTAAATCTTTAAATCTAATTGCTGCTTCAATATAAACAAAAAGTATCCACAGTGATACTGTTGGTAAACATACACCCCTCTCTATTGAAAGAAGAGAAGAAAAAAGAAAAAAAAAAAAAGAGAGAAGCCTGAGTAATATATTACAAGAAGCAGATACTGATACTTTTAAGTTATTTTTAAAAGATTCCAAAAGTCAAAGGACATTTTCAGTCAGACATGTATGGAATTGTAAGAGTTTTTGCAGAATAAAGTATCTAGGGGGTCTTATTTAAAAACAGCTCTAAACTTTTCTCTCATTATCTTGCTTTAGTACTTTTGCAAGGCACCAATGAAAAATAACAGATGCACAACTAACGAAATAACTTGGCACAAAACCCTATATAGAGAAGGAACGCAAATGGAAGAGACTGCAGAAGATGAGGTAATGTTATAGCTTGTGATCTTTGAATCAGAGAAGTGGTAAGCTTAGACTACTTTTTCTCTCCAAGTTAGGTATATCTTAGTGCCAGATGTGAGCAATTCAGCTGAGAAAATATAAGTGAGTAAGCACAAAACTAGTTAGTCCATATACAGTAATGCAGACAACAGTCTGACTCAAACTCTACAATAGGGGAGGGAACCTTTATGACGCTGTGTTGATTTCTCTAACACTACTGATGAGAATGTAAAATAGTAGCCATGCAAAAGAAAGGTGTTAATCCTCTTGGCCAGTGGAAAACTGATGGTACACTGCGGTCTTTTGAACAGTTTCCCTGTGCATAAATGAGAAACCCATATAAGCAACACTCAGCTTACAGGGACTGGGAAGGAAGGGAAGAAAAATCATAAACTGCAAAGTTGTAGCCAGATGTCAGCTAGATAGACACACCACCTAAAAGGGACATAACTTCCTCAAAAAAAAAAAAAAAAAAGTCAAGAGCAAGTTCCCATCAACTTAGATGAGCATTTAAAAAGATGAATTCCCAAGGTTGTAGTGAATTAAAATATCAAAAGAGCTCACTAGCTAAAGTTAAAACTGTCCCATCAGGTTTTTGCTTTGGGTTTCTAAACATTAACTCTGAGAAGAACAACTTCAGACAATACCGTAACATCTTAACACAGTCCTAAAAATAGCTCTAGATTTTTTACATATTTTAAATCGGGCAGCAACTGGGTTCACAGTCTCTTCCATTAGCTCCCACATTGCCATTATTATAAATGACTAATTTGTCAGAAAGATGACTGCTTTCACCAGTAAGCTGAGAAACGATCCACGCTATCTTGCAAATTCTTGTGAGCTGATTGCAAGTCTAACGCCAAATATTACAAAAACCCAGGATCCCAAGGGCTTGGGCAGGGAGAAATTAACTTTAAAAAAGTTGAAAGTTTTATTGCTAAAATTTTTGACCGAGGAAAGACAAACGCATAACCCACGCCAAGTCTTAATGCTCATGCAAACTAAAAAAAAACCAAAAAACCCCAATCCCCAGCCAAAAATCTCCAAACCACAGGATTTAAAAAAAAAAAAAATTCTAAAAAAAGATTTTTCCCCACGTGTCTCAAACCGTTGGGGCAGCCATTACTGCATCTGCAGCAAGTTAGTAACAAACAATTGATGTCACCAGCCTTTGTGCTCAGAACCTGAATCAAGTGGCACAGAGATTTTACTAATAAACATTTAAACTATAAATATGATAATAATATTTTGCTTTTTCAAAAAAAACCCCAATTTTAACAACAAGTTAGTCAAGTAGAAGGAAAGGTTTAATACTGTTTCACAAAACTTTTTGTATGCGCTCAGTATTTCTTGAAGGGCTGCAGAGTGTTTGGAGGTCATGCAGATATTCTTTAGCGTCCAGGAATTCCTAATTATACACTTTCAGTTCCAATAGCCAACCTTTAATGATTACAGCAAGAGTCACTCAGAGATGTATCAAGTGCAAATCAGCATACTAAGGATAGCATAAGAACACTTTATTTAACCTGTAACAAAGTCCCTTAAAACATATGCAGCAACAAATAGAAGAGGGTTTCTACATACCACTAAAAATTATAAGATATGTATTCAAATCAGTAAGTTGTAATTAAAGAAAAGTGACCTACCTGTGTGCCAGACATACTGTACCCATACATATGTGCTGGCAGCAAAAAACAGCCATTGTATTGGTATGAAGAGCAGACATATTATATTTGACGTGAATGCTACACAAACAAAAAATACTGAAAAGGCCTAAAAGAAAGGAGGGGAGGGAGGGAGAAGGAGAGTGTTTCAGTTATTCCAGCAAATATTACCACTTTATTTATTAATGGTGACACTACAGAGATTGCAACATAGAAAGGCCAGTAGCGTTTATTATCAGGACAAAGAAATGGAGCGGTCTAACCAATGGCAGTACAGACATATCCAATTAAGAGAGAGAGTGCGCAACTCAGGAATAAAAGGTCCTGCCCACTCTTCCAGTGAGTCTCAAAACAGCTATGTTTATCTCTTATTATTTTGTTTGAAGATTTCATTTACCCTGTTGATGTAGTATTATTGAAACTATATTATTCCTTCTGACAAAGGAAATCAGCAGTGTCATTTACTTTCAGAAAAAGTAGTAAATACTTAAATAAGCAAGCACACCCATATTACATTAAAGAAAATAAGCCCTCTTACTCAGGGATCTATACCAATTCACTAGTAACAGAAATTCAAGGTATTTGGCTATGGTGAAAAACGTGATAGCTATATACTTCACTTCCATTTGCCAAAGACTAAATAGGCAGTCTGACTTAAGCCAAGATCCCATATTAGCCATGTAGTCACTTGAAAATTCCTCCTCTTGAGAAAACGCTCAGCGGAACTACTAAGTTAGCTGTATAAGATACTATATGTCCTAAAACATTGCAGGATTTTCCTACAAAGGAACCGTGATTTTAGGTTATACATACCAAACCCTGGTATCTGAAGGAATCGTAAACGCTCCTGATGAAGAGCCAGAACGGCCACAGATACTCAAATCTGAACTCCAGGACAAAGTCTGCCAACAGTACTAGCGCCCACACTACTAGGAACTTCAGATACAGAAACGTACTGCAATTAAAAAAAAAAAGTAGCATTAGGTCTGTATTTCTGATAAAGAGATATAGAAACTATATGACTTTTTTTTTTTCCCCTCAGTGCAGGAATAAAAGTATAGACAACTGTAACGTAGGTAAGAGTCTTTCATGCAAAATGATTTTACAAAATAAGGAGTTTTATTATTACATTAAAATAGGACTGCTCTAATGGAGTTAACTATATTCAATTACCCCCCCTCCCCTTTTTAAGTGGCAAAAAATGGAAGGCTTTCTGCTCTTACAAGATATTCAGTGACAATCTCTCTTTAGCTCTGCACCATATTTTTACAAGTGAAGTTTTGCAAATAGGTATGTTGTCACAGCTGAAATGCTTCTTTTCTGGTTTACATTCTCGTATTTGGAGTTCAGAAACTTCCATATCCCCTTGACAAACAGGCTGCAGATATTCAGTCATTTGCCACATTTATTTAAACACAGACATACTGCAACATCAATAAATCCAGACATATTTTAAGCCTACATCAATAAGGAAGGGTATTTTGATATTGAGATGTGAAGGAGTTGCTTTTGAAGATATCCGTTTTAAAAGAAATACATTCATTTTAAATAATAGAAAAACAGAGGCACATGTGATTTGAGGCCAGACAGTCTAACTTCTTTTTCTGATTATTTCAGAGCCACGATCCCTTATTCCTAGTCCTGCATTTTGAACCACTGGAAAACGTTTATCCACTATGGAGCTCAAAATATTTTGAGATAATCACTGGTTAATACAGTAGCACTTGAGAGAATAGATCAATCTGTTCTGTTGCAGAGAAGGAAGCAAAAAGCCTCTTCCCTCAAAACCCAGCGCCCAGAGATCCAGTATGTTACTCCAATTCCCCAAAGTGCAACTACCTTTTTGCACTGTATTGGCTCATGTAACAAGAGGTTTAATTTTTTTTCCCCTTCCCTAAATCAAGGGCGGTTTTTCCTATTAATAACTTCTTTTTCCTCCTGTATCATACTACCAGCATCATCAGTGGAACTCTGCCCTGGGATGTTTACTGATAAATTGCCAAGGATTAGCATGTACAAGGCTAGGCAGGGCTCACTCAAGTTTCTGCACTGTTCATAGACACGTGGCTTACTGGAAAAGTTGTTTGGAGCTTCTTAAAAGACACCAAATAAAAAACTTGTATGAAGAGTGTTCCAAACAAGCAAACGCTTATAAGCAACTGAACTACTGCTCGTCAAATTTATTAAGAGTCAGTGATAGGCGGTAAGCTTTCTACTTCTCATCAGACAGAACACTCTGCTCCATTTAATTAAGATACCATAAGGTTACTTTATCAAGATGATAAAGTAAATTATCACAGAAAGAGAAGTCATTATTACTCTTTTTTTTTAAGTTTATTTTTATTGGTCTCACTAATACATTCACATGAGTACATGCTATAAATCAGTATGAACTAAAGAAAGACTTTACCTGCAGTCTAAGAAATAAGCAAATATTCCTACACTTAACCCATCTCTGTATGCCCCCACCCACTTTTTGAAAGTGTTTTCCTCATTTAGAGTACAATCTGAAAAACACTATTCTGCACCTGGAGTTTGACATAACAGGACTGGAAAAAAAACTTAAGAACTTCCTGTAGTATTTTCAATGGAAACAAAGTTAATGACACATCCACCTTGAAAAATTAAGGCATTTTTCAATGGTTACAGAACTGTCCCCAGCCACGTAGTCAAAAAGTACTCTTAGGGAACAATGAAACTATAGAATAGGCATTAAAAAAAAAAAATCTAAACGGTAACATTTGTCCTAGTTGGTTATGCTCACGTATGCTGCTGTACTCTTTTTTAAAGTTCTAAATCCTTAACAAATATCTGTAAGAAGCAGCTGCGTTCAGCAGTCCTCAGAGAACACCTAGGTGCAAACGGCACCAGACACCGGGTTCTGCAGTCACAACTACGTTCGCTTTGACCATGCTGGTGCATTGTATGCGTGCAGCTCTAACAGTTGAGAAAAAAAAAGCATATGAAGGCATTGCTTAGAAGCAATCATTATTCTGTCTGTTTAGTTGGAAAAGCTGTTACGTTGTGTAGGCATTTTTTCCTGGGTTAAAGTTATGGCTATTGTGTACTTTTCTGCTACTAAAATCCATAAAGAGAATACGTTTTTCCTAACAAATTAAGAGTTGTCAGAACTAATGCCTTTCAATTGTAAAGTGCTACTCTAAATTAAAGCATTTGCTGAAGAAGAGTTTTGTAGTACAGACATTAAAGTAATTCCTAATACTAAACTCATATCAAATCTGAATGCCATGCTGACTTTTCTTACCTTTTAAAGTGGAATTGTAACAATTCAAAATATGTAATAAGGTTTTCACAACAACATTAAAGAGTCTACTTCTCAATCATCTAAACTACTCAAAAGCAATTAAGAGTTTTATGAATACAAGACTAAGACATAAGAAAGTTATTTCCTTTTATAAAGGACCTCATCTACGTACACAGGCCTCAACAGTAGTTTACCGTTGTGTAATATATTCTACATATGCATTCATCTGCACAAGACCACACTTATATCCACATACTTACATGAAATATTTTAGAAGATAATCCCTCAGACTACACTTAATCAGTCGGTTTTGGACACCAACAATCCCCCCTTCAACATTTTCAACATTAAAGTCTGTATACAGAGGACTGCATCAATGTCAGAGACTGCAGTCTAGCATAGCTAAACACTCAACCCTAGCTTAAAAATTGGTATAGGTAGCAACCTACTGACATCAGCTCCCTGCTCACGATAGACAAGTTTTACCCACTGTGCTGAGCTTCCACGCTGCTACAGTTACACAGCTAGTTTAAAACTCGCTCGAGTCTCTTTGCCGTAGACTGCAGTCTGCAGATGGCAATGATTCTTAGTAGGAGGAGGAAAGAAATGCAGATCTTGATTTCCCTTATTCCATACAGGTATGCCGCACACCAAGATTTGCTGTCTGTGACAAGTATTATTGCCTAATGCACAGTTTATAAGTTAATTTACAAATGCTTGGTGAACACACACCTCTTCAATGAACGTTTACATTAGCTGTACCTGCAAGAGGTCCAGTCAGAATGAAACCCAAAAGAAAAACAGGCTAATAGACCTCTTTTTTGACAGGCAAACCCCTATTCTGTTATCTTGCTTCATACGACAGACTGTTCAAATAATATGACATGAATGAAGTTACTAATAAAATTTAGCAACAGCCCTCCTCCCCTTCTCTGTTTTGCACTCGTCACTTTTACTTCATCTTTGCTCTTCAAGCTCGTGATTCCTTCTAGACGCTATTCCTCTGTTCAGTGCTTTCCTACTGTTATCTAGTCAGCATCCCCACTGCGCCTCCCCTCCAGTATGCTCATCCTACGAGCCAGACAGCTGATGATGCTCCTTTGGAACCCAGCGCCAGCCGTTAGTTGTCCGTGAACCTCTGAAATTCATTGATCTTTCTGGGCACATCCACACATTTCTCCAGTCTTGATAGCTGCTGCGTCAGTATCCTCACTTAGAGATAATACTCACTAGACAGAAGTGCTTTCTAACCTGAGTAACCCTTATATTAAAAATGCTCAAATATATTCCATGGTACACCTTTTAATTCTGAGTTTGTTCTCGATACAGGAGGAAAAAGACTGTATGCCTAAACTGGTTGTGGATAGATAACCTAAATTTTAGGCATTTAATTTTCTGGTCTGATACATCAAAAAAAGCTGACTTCAGTGATCTGCCCAAGGTTTAAGAAGGGCAGGGCTTTCCCTATAAAACTGGCATATGGTATCTAATCTTGCAGGGTAATACACGATGGAGGGAGGAAGAAAAAAAAAAGACCCACATTAATGAGAGAAATATAGTACTGAACTGGAAGGACTAGTGATTAGATTATAGTACCGCAAGTTCTGTGGAACATCAGTTGATTGCTAATATATACTGAACTTAAAGATTTATTCATAACTGCACAGTGACTATGTTCCTCCTTTGAATTTTCAAACAATTAATTTTCCTCCCCCTGCCCCCTTCCCCAAGTACCAGATGCCATTTCCCTTTTTTTTTTTTTTTTGCTGCTTCTTCTTTGTTCTCTTTTTACTGCCCTGTACAACAGATATTGTTCTTGCTGGAAGGTAAAAGCATTCAAAAATATCACTGGAAAAACAATCAAGTATCCAAAATCCAAACTGGTACCAAACTAAGCCTCTATTCTATCTCTTTATTATCAGCAAGTTCCACAGGGTGCAAAGTGAATCTTCACAGAATTGAGGGTATGTTTCATTTTGCAGCCTGACTCTCACAATATAAAGGAGGGGAAGGCATCTTGAGACTGGCAGGGTGCCAAATGCAGAGGTAGGCTTTAGAAAGGTGAAGTTTAGCATGCATGTGAAATTACTGAAGAGTCAACAAGCAAGATCTCAAGGTTATCCAACCAATGCCAAACAGAATATTTGGATTGCTTAGAGAATATCAGCAGAGATCTTCAAATGAAAAAGCATTATAAATACATAGATGTGTATGAGCTTATTTGTATGCAATTGCATATACGTAAGAGAATTTTTAGTAGATATAAAAGCGGTATAGAAGAGGATAGCAAAAAGTAGTATAGAAGAGGATAGCAAGTGTGCAAAAGGGAAAACATAACTGCTGGGATGTGGTATGCATGCTGGAAACTATTATGTGAAATACTTGCCAAGTGCATTTTCCAAAAGGAAGATACATTTAAAGAACCCCAGGAAACCTCCCTGACTACCTATTTAGAAGGGAAGACAAAATAGAAAAGCTATAGATCTCTTACAGTAATTCTGGAAGCAAGTGTAACAGATTAGCTGAACCAGAGGCAGATAATCAGCAATCAGTATTGTAGTACTGAAACAAGAGAAACTGTTAGACCACTGTGGTAACTCAGCTGAAAATACCAGAGTCCAGAACACAAAATAAAGCAAGGGGAACTGCAGCGTACAGGGGAATGAAAGCCACTGGCAGAGAGAAGCAAT